GACGACAGTTTGGCATGGACACGGACTTGTCTTACTGTTAGCTAGCCTTTCCATGTGCCCGCAGAATCAATGGACGCATGAAATCCGAGTCAAGAATCCTTTCATATCCTCAAAGATCATCTCTCATGTTTATTACAAAGGACCCTGAAACTGACTACGTAGCAAACAGAAACAATCGTCCCTTTCTCCTATTCACAAGTTGATAGATGAAACGACTGAAGGGTCCTTTGTACGACCTAAGCTGCGCGATATCCGAGCTTCTCGTGACTCGCAGTACTTCATTTAATACTGCGACGATCATGGAAGGTGTTTGAAACTGTCCAATCCTATCTGGCGCTGTTTACTGATCGCCAATTGCCTCGGTCTTTTCCCGTGAGTTGGAGCTGCATGCAGGCAGTGCTACCCCCCCTTGAACTTGCTTGAGCTACCAAGGAATGACATTCGGGGTCTCGGTCTTTGCGATAACGGACCTATCTGATTTGATATCAGTTCTCTACTCGCGGCTATGTCAATGGTACGCATAGTATCGTACCTACAGTACACTGGCCAAGACTTGGCTCACTGGCTTCCTCGAACATTGACGCTCCTCGTCACGTTGACCCGTCCTGCTGGGCACTAAACCCCGCGTTGTGAAGTCAAACCCCGCATCTTAAAACAATATGACAGACAACGCGGTATCAGCGCGTAGCTGTTAAATTCGCATGTTACTCTGCTGTGCTTATGGTGCTGAAAGGGTGTCTTCTGTGCTCTTGCTCATGCAGCCCAGATAGCCTTTCTGAGTTGACTGTCCAGTGTCCTTCACCCACAGCCCACCCACTCTTTAAACAGGGCTCTGACATCGCGAGACTCCGGCGGTGAACATGCTATTTCTTTACGTTGTTGAAATTGCAGCTGGGATCACGAACAAGAAAACATCGAGTAGAATCGAAGCTACAAAGAGGATAATGATCACGAGATGACCGCCATCATGGCAACAATGGAGTCAGCTCTGTGCATTCAAGTTGCTCAGCATACCGCTAAGCAGTATATGGGATAGCCATTAACAGGATATCCTGAGAAGTTGTTTCGATACATTTCTCGAAATTAACTGCAACCAACATAGACTTTGATCTAGCTGGTTTGGAGACCGAGCACACATATCTCAAAAGTATCATATTGCCGTGCTGTTGAAGAGGATGCAGGTACATTTATCTAACCAGATACCTTCAACTCATACTCATCAAAACAATGTCACCACCGTATAAGTCCTTACCCGCACCTCGCATATCGACCCGCATGCCGCAATGCTCCATCTCTCTGCATCGTCAAACAGACCCAGGTCTCGGCCGGTTATACCACTGGACTGGCCCGACTCAGAGGACCCATCATCTCGTTGTTTTTACGCCGAAAAAAAGAGAAGACAGTTGCGCGGTTTTTTGGCAAAGGAGGTGTGGACTGCTGCATGATGGGTTGTACAGCATTCGATGGAGTCTGAGGAAGTGAACTCTCATCTCATTTTCCCTTGCCGTTCTCCCTAGCCGGTTCCTTTCATCCTGGAATAAGCCGACCGCCCGTGAGATGGCTTGATGTTGATACAACTGCAGGAGATGGGAGCCCATGATTCAGCCCTTGGAAGAAGCCACATCTACAGATTGAGAAACAAGCATTCTTCATCATGCACCCTCTATGACGATGACGGTACCGGTCTCGTTGCCGGTTTGAATCTTTGCTTCTATGGTCTTGCTGCCGATCAGGGACGGGACTTGTCTTGACATGCCCTCCTAGATCTTTGCCAAGAGATTATTTTCTCCGAAGAGGGCCTGAGCTTTTTCAACCTCAGCTACAATTCTCGATACAACGACTGACAAGGCTGAATACTGACAGAAATTACTTTTGAAAAGTCTAACGGTCATTCATTACTTGTGCGCCGGAAACTTCCTTGCTCTCCCTGCTCGAGGATGAAGCCATTGTGGGTTCTTGACAATTTGCTTCCAGTCCAGACTTTTCTAGACCAACAGCTTCAAGCTTGAAACTTTTTTCCCTCTCCTGCTCGTTCTCGGTCCGCTAGTGTCACGATGAAGAATTGGCTTGAGTACTTTACGATACCTTCCTCCATTTACCGACGGTCCGTCGAGGCAGAGCTCGTAAATGCTAATGAAAGTCAATCGTAATTTCTCACCAAGAATGAGAATCAGCCACAGTCTGACCGCGAATTACGCTCTCGTCAGTGGAGACCTCATCACTTTTTTTCAGCTTTCAGCCTTCTTCTTTGAGCTCTGTAACTGTTGTTGAGTTCCACACCAGCTCGAAGGTTCAAATTTTGGCTTTGCCCACTTTATCTTCCTACGACTCCGAGACCGCCTTGTCAGCATGGCTGAGACTGTGATGCAATTCACTGCTCAGAGTGTCTTGGCAGGGGCTGGGTTTGAGAAACGTTAATTCCACTGCATGTACTGTACAGTAACATACTGTAACAATACAGCACACACGGACTGAAGTGTATTGCCAAGAAGGAATTACGCGGAAAGGTGAGATAAGCACAGCTGAACTTGTTTATGCTGCGCCATGTTGATGATGAAAAGTGAAGATCCGTGACGCCATGAGCCACTCCTGTTGTCAAGACGATGCCCAAAAGCTACGTGTATTCCGTGGCAAAGGGAACTCTCAGAGTTTCACCTTTCACTTCGCAGAGATGCACATGGAATATCTCGGGCCTCACGGGTCCCGGGATCTTCAACTGCCAGCGGACTCTCGAAGGCCCGAAAGTCCATAGGTACGAATGGCGTGTTCCAGCACATTTGATGGGTTGGATGAAAGCAGGCACAAGAAAGCAGCAAAGTTACCTGGCCGACTTGTTTCTGTGACGTGTGAGGTCATGACAGCTCAGGTGATCGGCAATTGTACGCATTGAGTGCCGAGTCCAGATTTTTTTCCTGTTTATTTCATTAAACTGGCTTTTGCTTTGGTGATGATGTTTTGGAGGGAGAACCCGGTTGCTCCGAATCATATCCGGCTCGGTTATACTTTCCAGACGGGAATATCTGGATTTATGGTCGTTTCGACACCTTGTCGTCATGGATGGAGGAGAATTTGAGGGGGTTGTCTAGTGGATGAAACCGACAGAATTTGAGGGATGATTCTGATACAGGGTAACCAATTTTCCGCAAATGCTTCACATGACACGAAAAGGCCATCCGCGAAGCTGGTATGATTTGTACACCATCGACTAATTCCAGAATCAATTGGATCATCTCATGAGACCCTTATGATAAGATCTCTGCTGTCTTACGTGAGACTCATGAACAGTTGGGTTGTTCAAGGTTCATATTCGTATTATGTACATGCATGAAAGCTGTGCTTATCTTTCAGGGTCTCAGCACATGGGGAAACACCTTCAAAGTAGAGTCAGACAGAGCTGACTCTGTTACTCTGTTACTCTGTTACCCTGAGAAGGTATAATCGTGAGAGGTTAATGAAAACGAACATCAGAAATATCATTCAACTCAGCAAATAATTATAGCTACGATATTATGCTTAAGCTAATATGGGATGAAAAGAAGCTTAATGTTCCCCGGACTTTTCACCACACAGAAACCAAAGACTATATGCTCAGAGAAAGTCATGTACTGAGAAGTTAGTCGATAATGTCATTAAAAATAGATGTTGACTTCTCGCACATGAACCTGGGATCGCAATATAATGAGCCTTTGCCCTCGTCGAGTTGCTACTTCATACTCACAGAGCCAGCCACAGTGAAAAGGAATGGAATTGAAAGATCTCAGGTACAATTCCAGCCTCACCATAGGAACTGGTTGATTCACATAACTCACTGGTCATGAGATTGAGTGTCCTTCAAAGCATAACACCACCAATGTTAAGAGTCAAGGCCTCAGGCAACTTCCGTCAAAATGCGGCCTCGGGCATCGTCGTTATCGCTTACTTGCCTACAGTGAAATAGAGTTCCACCAAGAGAAGACGGCTTGGAGTGAAGCGCCGACGCGAATGAATATGCCAAGTATTGGTTGTACGTCTGGCGGTCTTAATGTTAGACAATTTCATATTAGCACCTTCACCATGAGATACAGCATGCCTGGGAGAACGAACTGACCACTGATGCACGACAATGAAAGATATTTATATCATAACGTTTGAGAGATTGTTTACTTAACGATTAGTTACTTCTTCTTGTTGATTCTCCAGTAGTAGTTGCCAACCTGCTGTATTGATCATATACGATGGACTTTACAGCATGTAAAGAATTGTGATATAGGATTCGAGTCCTACGAACAAGAAAGCACAGGAATTGCACTTGACATAGCCAGAGATTGCATCAAAAACACTCTGGTTAACTATACTAGAGTTGGTATTTATGGATTACTTACCTATTGTGCTAGATCTACTGGACGTCACACCAATATATTTACTTCTCCTAGGCTTAAGCCACAAGCAACTAAAGCTTGCACCCACGATCAGCTTCCCCTCATCAACTGGATTCCCTTAAGCATCAAGTCGCGACTCTGAGAAAGGTCACCGGCGCCTGAGCAGTTGCTTATTGATATCATTGACTTCTTTGATCCTGAGCTCAGTCACACAGAACGAATCGCGCCATGGCCTCGATGGAAACCCTTCCGATCGAGGCAATCTACAACATCGCAGACCTCGTCATAGAAGAGGCATTTAACGAGAAAATATTCGCAAAAACTTAATTGGCTCTGGCACAAACCAACCATCACTTCTACGATATTGTTAATCCTCGCCTTCGTGCAGCAAGCTATTGCTAGGCAGCTCGAGAGGGAAAACTAGATATCCTCAAGAAAGCACATGAGAACGGCGCGAATCTAAGCGCGACTAGGACGATGAGACCTAGAGAAAGAGCAACGCCTTTGCACTACGCCATCAAGCATGGACATCGTGATATCGTCGAGTACCTCGCTGAGCTTGGCGTGGACCCCCATGTGCCATCCAAAGGAATCTGCGATTGCTGGAGTGATAACGAGCCTGTAAAGCCTTATGTCCTTCACATGGCCATCCGACATGGCGGGTTTGAAGGAGCCGAGAAAATCCCTGTCCAGAAGCTAGGAGCACACTGGACATTTCGGGGAACATCTGCTTTGGAACATGTTGATCCTCGCGATGTCGATGATAGGGAAATCATTGACTTGCTCGTCCAACTGCCCGGATCAAGACCCGCTGCTGATGCACTACGGTACGCACTCAAGTGGAACGAACCTGGGCTTGTGAACCGTCTGCTCGAGAGGCCTGGCCTGGATGCTTCTAAACCTGATTATGAAGGTCAAACTCCTATTTTCTGGGCGATTCAGTACGACCTAGTGGATACCGTTAAGTTACTGCTTCAGCGTCCAGAAGTTAACCCTGGTAAACCTGACAAGAACGGCTTCACTCCCTTGCAGGTGGCGGTTGGCGTGAGGAATTTACCACTTGTCGAATTGCTCCTCCAATACGAAGAAGTCAATGCTCGCAGAACTGGCGGAGGAAAGTCCAGTGCCCTCCACGTTGCTGCCGAGCGTGGAGAACTACAGATTGTGAATCTTCTCTTAGAGCAAAACGGCCTTGATGTAGCATCTCCCGATTCAACTGGCAATACTCCACTGCATTGGGCTGTCAGGAGTCGTGATAATGGGTACCATCCAAGTCTGCATATGATATACGATGATGACGATGATGACGACGATGGCGACGATGGCGATGATGGCGATGATGGCGATGATGGCGATGATGGTGATGTTAGTGATGTTAGTGATGTTAGTGATGTTAGTGATGTTAGTGATGTTAGTGATGTTAGTGATGTTAGTGATGTTAGTGATGTTAGTGATGTTAGTGATGTTAGTGATGTTAGTGATGTTAGTGATGTTAGTGATGTTAGTGATGTTAGTGACGACGATGACTACGAAGACGACGACGATGATACTTCTGATGAACCGCCTGGGTACAGAGAAGAAAGCCTTGACATCATCAAAAGATTGCTAGCCAGACAAGAGGTCAACTCGGGAGGGCACGATCAGGATGGGCTCACCCCTTTACACCACGCTTGCTTGATAGCAGATTACGAAGTTGTGGCGGTCTTACTTCAACGACAAGATGTTAACCTCAAAGCTCGAGCTTTGAAAGGACAGACACCTCTCCATCTGGCAGCATCGAATCCTCAGCGAAGTGCAAAGAAGATAATGGATTTGCTTCTCGAGCAATCGGGTGTTGAGATAACCGAGGTTGATCATGAAGGCCGGACTGTCCTTCACTACCTCTGTGGCAACTTTAAAAAAGATTTCCCAGTCCTCGATCTGATCGAGACTGTGCTTCAAGCAGGTGTCCCGATTGACCAAGAATCTGCGACTGGGTTGACAGCGTTTCATCAAGCAGTCTGTAGCGGATATTGGAGTGTCGCTCTGTTTCTGCTCGACCTTGGTGCAGATCCCATGGTTTCGAAGCGTTTCAAGTATAACAACAACCTACTGCATGCCATCTTGAAACACTCAGACCCCGACGTCACAAAGAGCGAACTGATCGAGAGGCTCATCGAGCGAGGCATTGAAATCGACACTTACACTGATTCGCCAGTTTTCGATCCCCGGTTCAATGAGGACGACAAAATCGAACAAGCCATAGGTATACGATCTCCAGATATTCTTGTCGGCACAGATTGTACTCCTCTCTTGTTGACAGCAATGCGCGAGTTTAGCCTCAAGAACATGAAAATACTCCATGATGCAGGAGCAGATCCGAATGCGCACGTCTTCATCAAAGATGTAGAATTGGAGGGCAAGACGAATGGTAATCGCCAGGCGTTCTTATCAGGAGTGTTCCGCCATATCTGGGAGCCAGGGAGCCCAAGTGACAGCGAAATCCTAGAAAATGAAGAGCCCATGGAGTTGTTGCTAAAATTTGGGTCACGGTTAGACTTTGATGGTCCAGCGGATAGTCCACTTCAGGAGGCCTGTAAAGCAGCAGATGCTGGACATTTTGCTTTGTTGAAGATTTTGCTGGACAACTCAAAGGCAAGGAACGTCAGCGAGAGCCATGTTGATGAGGTGATATCTGCGTATAAGGATAAGCCGGAGTACACTCAAATTTGCCGCAAGCTGGAATCTTTTAAGAAAAAGGTGTTCATTGAATAGTGTTTGAGTTCGTGTTGTTGAAGCCATTGATGTTAGGTAGGGGCCGTTGAAAGGTACTTTGTGGATGTCATGCAATATATATTAGTATAGCAAGCAATAAGAACAGCATATTATAAGAAAAAAATTCATAGGGAACTTCGTTTCACGTAAAATACGTAGAGCATATGAAACTGTTGACTGTCGAAGGACTTCCATAGGTAGGTCGGTTGGAAGGACAATGGAGGTCATGTGATCTGGCACGTGCTCAAGATAGGTGTCGGATTTTCCCGCTAGCCGAATCGCGAATTGCTGCTCCGGCAAAGATTCGTGCCAGCGGCCTCAATTGAGCTCACCCAAGCAACAACCTCATCCACCAGCTCAGCCCATCATGAACTCCTTCCGCGTTGCCCGTGCGGCTCTCCGAGCTCGCCCTTCCGCTATCCGAGTCCCCCTCCAGCGAAGAACCTACGCCGAGGCCGTCCCCGACAAGGCAAGATTCAGCGAACCCCGTCCCCGGCTACGACTGGTTTTGCCTACCGAACCCGACTGACCGTTATCGCAGATCAAGCTGAGCCTTGCCCTTCCTCACCAGGTATGACACCGCCCGCGCGATACCCGGATCGACGAATACGATTACAATTCGACCCTCACGATGATGGCACCGTCGCCAATTGATTGATGCATGGGAGCTAATTGCCGCACCGCAGTCTATCTACAAGTCCCAGGATGTCGTCCAGGTCAACATCCCCGCCGAGTCTGGAGAGATGGGTGTCCTCGCCAACCACGTTCCTTCCATTGAGCAGCTGAAGCCTGGTCTGGTTGAGGTTGTCGAGGAGTCCGCTGGCTCCAAGCAGTTCTTCCGTACGTCATGAGTTACAGATCCAGATGCAATTGCCCAAGGTCGACAAATCGCTGATGGAATTTTTGTCATAGTCTCTGGTGGATTCGCTACCGTCCAGCCCAACTCCGTCCTCAGCATCAACGCTGTTGAGGGATACCCCCTTGAGGACTTCAGCGCCGAGGCCATCCGAGCCCAGATTGCTGAGGCCCAGAAGGTTGCCAACGGCAGCGGAAGCGAGCAGGATATTGCTGAGGCCAAGATCGAGCTGGAGGTGGGTTTCAGGCGACATAAACTTGCGATTGAGTTTACTAACGAGGGAACAGGTTCTCGAGACCCTGTCTGCGCACGTGAAATAAGTGTACAGCGAGTTTGTTGTGACGGAGGCCCTTGTACATCAATATTCTACCCATATTTAGCACGAAAAGCTGTGACAATTGATACCAGTCCTGGTTGTGCTCCTCCTAAAATGCACTTTTGTTCCTTTGCTCAGTGACACCTTCCTCATTAATTCTCTATCTTTCAGTGACGTTGCTATTCAATGCAATGCTTGACCTAGCGCTGTTTTCCACAACTTCCACACCTGCAATTTTGAGGTAGGATGGACTTTTCTCTCTCCCTGCCATTCACCTCACGCTCCTGATTTGTAATTCCTACCTACAACATGCCACCCCTTTCTGCACCTCGCATATTGATACTCTATATCGACTATTCGAGCTTCTGGGCTATCGCCGGTTGCCGTCTTCCCGCTTCGTAGCAGTGTCGCATGGCTTCTGGTACGATTAGCCAAATCTCTTGAATAGCATATCATCCCTAAACCCAACAACACGATATGATCCCTCCGGGAGTCGTCGGTGATCGTGTTCGCCAGCTCCAAACACTTACCGAACCGCAAGCCGCGAGTGGGCGACCTTCTGATATTTCTAAGCGACCGAGTAGAAGCACCACGATAGGTTAGGGACCAGGAGTGGCCAGTGGCAACAAGAGTCGCACATCAAGAGATACACTTCCGAGACAGATATCCTCAACTCTATCGCAAAAAGATAATCCAAGGTTCAGTGCTGTCAGGGGGTCCAGGGGAAGAAATGCATCAACAAAACCAAGTGTTGCTGGCTTCCCGCCTAGGACGAGCTACGGACGAACTGCCTCGAATCGACCGAGCCAAGCTCTTCGATACTCAGCTAGTACAGACATGCTTCCTTCAGAATCTTTCATGTCCTCATACCTTGAGTCGACAAACCGCTCTCGTACTGCTAGCTCCACAGAGAAATGCCAAGATGCGATGGACATCCTTGAGCAGTATGGAATCTCTAGACCCGCTGGATGGTTCTCGGATGGCGATGCAGGGACGCCAGATCAAATCAAACAAACGAAAGCGATCTTCTCGCAGATCTGTCACTCGTGCGGCAATCCTCTCGCTTTCGAACGATATTGCTCGCACTGCGGCCACGATTCTTGTATGAAGTGTACGGGAGAGACCCCTGGACAACCCCTTGAACACAGGGTTCTCAACAGTTCAATACAGTATCAAAAACACTCTTTCATAGACAAGATACCCGAGCTACCAACACAAGATGAATACCCTGAAGGTGAGCGCAGTCACACTACGCGAACTACAGTCGATACTGCTCGTCGTCGTAAGCTCTCAAGGTTCGCATCGGAGCCAGATACGCCAGGGACATCCTTTAGAACCAAGACGCAATCTCGCCAAAGACCGAGAACTGATCAAAACACCTTGAAGCCCACTCGGAAGAAGACGATTGCGGCACCAACAGAGATCTCTAGCTCAGTGAAGAACAACCCCTTTTTTGTGGCAGACAGAGGAATGAAGAAAGAAGCACCAGAACCTGAAATCACAACGAGATCAGTGCAAGTGGAACGTAAACCCAGGCCCTCAGACTGTGTACCTAATCGTCTCAAATCCAGCTCGCCCCGCGTTTCTCACATAGAGGAAGAATGCTCCGACCCTGGTTGTAGAGCTACACACGATGGCCATCATCCAACGCGGCATAGCATTGGTTGTGCGACCTGGCGTAGTTTAGGAGCGCAAGTGGTCGAAGGCAATGATTTGGATATGATTGATACAGATGAATGCAAACCTAAAGAGAAGAAGCACACACAGTCACCGAGGGATTCACCATCCCGAAGCAAGTTACAGATGAAAATTGACCAACTCTATCATCATGGACAAGATCTCCATCACTCACAGCATATAATGGAGCATTTAGCAGCTGGTGTACAGACTCTCGAGCCTTCTACGGACGAGAAACCAACAAACGGGCAAGACGGGCGCATGCGGGCGGACGGCTACATGTTGAGGGTACAGAGTCTACCTGGTATTGATCACTCCTTGAGTCGAGACGAGACTGTCACAGTGGCAAAAGACACTATCGAACACAATCTGAGCAAAGAGCCGGCAGTGCCTGACGAGATTGAGCCACAGCCACCTAATCTTACCGATTATCACAAGGGGGATCGGCATCCGAGCCCAAAGTCTCATGAACCCCATGACGATACCCAACCCAAGGATGCCCATTGGATAAAGCACCCTATAAACAATAACAAGACCCATGACGCGCCGAGAGACCACACGAGAACATTGACTTCACGTCCAACTAGTGAAAAGCCCGTCTCTGAGTCCAAAGGACCGAAGAAAGGCCTCGACACTTCACTAGAGGCAAATGAAAGGATTGCGCCACAAGCTCAAAACAAGTCCTTGTCAGACAAAGGTCATGATGCTGATCCCAACTCCAAGAAAAGGATTGGCAAACTCGATGAACCTGTCCCTGAGGGGAAAATGATGCCTAAACCAACTCCACGTATCAACAATGACTCTGAAAGACCGAATGCCGAGGCTACCGGTATCTTGTCATAGAGGACGCAGTTAAGGAAGGTCGATAGGTCTTCAGAACAGCCACGAAGTCAGCAACTAACCCCTTCCCATGTCGAGAACTGGAGGCGTGAACTCAGCAGTGTAAATCGTCGTACGCCACTACCTGAAAAAGATAGGAAGGATAGTTGCTTCAACTGCAATCCTACTCAGTCATCATCACCTAAGCAAACAGAGGGTGGTTTTCAGATCTTCGTGGAAGATGAGTCACATAACAAGACTGAGAATGAATTGAGTGCTGTGTTTGAGTCACCCATGCCTCGGCTCAAAGTAACAGACATTGAGCATTCACTCGCTCGCAAGAGCGTCGAGGAATTGTTGGCCAAAAGTCCACAGCCACAAGAGATAACAGCAGAAGGGCCAAAGAGCACGAGACTCCCGAGCATAACAGAGGATCGATCTCGCAACGACTCTGAAATGTCAACATTGATTTATGACCCTAGACCTGTGATGCCATACAACCACATGTGTGCTTGGCGAGCACGCTACATGGACCTCAAGAGCCAAGTTGACGAACTTGGGCTGGAATCAGGGCGCCCGTCGCCAGCGAAACAGACTCAGGGCGTGTGCTCACACCCCAATGGTGATGTTGACATTGAGGGCCTCACAGTAGTGATGCATCTTAGAGGCAAGGATGACTTGGTGATCAATACAGACTTGAAAGATGGTCTACAGGAACACATGAAGCAGCGATAGAGCAGAGGCTCGTAGGAGTAAGAAGATTAGAATGGTTAGGATAGACCGGACAGGACGGAGAAAGTATTGCTTTTTTGATAGTTTATTTGTTATTAACTTCAGTATTGATACACATTGACCTACAAAGTTCAAATTATCAGTAACTATTGGCCTTGAGGCTTCTTCACAATCACATCGTGACTCGAGTACATGAGAGCAGTTCGTTCGCATGTCAAAAGCCATGACAGCGCACTGACATCGAGTCAAGGACGCTATCGGCGGATAACAACATCCTTCTGCTCCATCCTTCAACCTCAACGGCGTTACAGTCCAACGTCAGCAACCGCAGCGAAACTCTAGCTGTCAATAGCAGTCAGCCAACAGGGACGATTCCACGGCTTCCCGGTCTAAGCCCCGGGCCCTACTGCAGCCTCCACTCTTCCCCGGTTTGCCAGGTGCTGATGCTGAGAGGATGTGCCAGGGGGTGGCCCGGAGCAAAAATCCTCAAGGTTTTGAGAAGCGGTGACAGGGGGTGTTGGTGTTCTTGTCTCTAGCCTTTTGACTTTTTGTATGCATAGGTAGGGCTGGGGTGTTAAACCTAGGGTAAATCGACTTTTTGATTTTTGACGTGATAGACCCCTACATATGTAACGGAGACAGGATTTGGAATGTGACTGTTGTGTTGTGAGTGAGGCGAACAGGGTGTAACCTAGAACAGGATCGACCTGTGCTGCGTCTTGACGAGGATGTTTCGAGATAAGATGTTGCTTGTTTGACCAACTAGGGGGATACACGAAATGTCAAGAAAAGCATTATGATTTCACTTTGAAGCAGGGATGAAGCGGATTTCTTCATGTGTGAGCGAAACGAACGAACCATTATATTTAGACGGAGGGCGTCTGCCAGGGGACCAAGTGTGTTTGTTCGCATTGGGTTCTTACATCAATTCCAGCCGTGATCAATGAATGCTTCATTGGAAGCGGTGAGAGAGAGACAAGAGCTGAGTTGTCGGTGAAACCCTTTCATTGTCTGGCCTTGCGTCTTGTTAGCGAAAAACCCAACCTCATGCAATGCGTGCTCGCTATGTGCAGGAGAATATGTAGTATGCAGCCGTCAAAGGCACAGATGCCAGCATCGAATTCCAAACTGCATCTGCATCCTTTGCTAGGGGGTCCCATGTTTGCTATGACCCTAGCCATCACATATACTTCTCTTATGCACGTAACAACGCAACAAACATCGAAAAAAGTTCCGACCACGCAGAGCTTCACAATGTGAGTGAAAGCGGTCAAGGCGTCGAGGGTGACAGCGGTGTAAGGGAGAACTACACGCGAGTCATGCGCTGGACGTGTTCTTCGGTAAACAATACACTTGTGGGAGTTAGTGGACCTTGAATCCGGTAGTTGAGAGAGCTAAACAGCTCCGTGTCTCACGATGCTCCATCCATTGTGAGGCATTCAATAGTCAGAAAGAGACAGAGAAAGCAACATTGGGTTCGCAAAAATCACAAGACCACCCGGATGTGCTCCATGGATCATATGTAGGCAAACATTGGCGAGAGCCACGGTCCTTAAGCACTGTGTAGCATCCCAACGAGCAAGCAAACAAGGTTGTCCAGGAATACGGATATCATGGAACGACCCAAGCGCCAGGATCATGGTCCGTCCGGGTCCGGGTTCAAAGTTCCGAGTAGGTCCAGAACTTGAACCATAAAGAAAGAAAACAGAAGCGAGGATAGAACATGTCCATGAGAGGAAGATCCGGGTGCTAGCAGATGATCAACTTGATTGGGATACCTACGATTGTGAAAGCCTCAGGGACTTTTAGTGCGTGCCAAACCAAACTTCCTCAGGCATTGCCAAGGTCTGTGCTTTCGTTGCTCTGCCTCTGCGTCTATAGTCGGGAATGAGCTGTAACAAACGATTCGATGCCTGTCAGCACTTGTCGCTGTCAAGATCGAGTTCTATAGCTTGAAATCGTTGAGCCTCAATCCCCGGATTCCAACGTCCACCTTGAACACATGACCACCGTTCTCGCGGCTTGATCCCTCGCCCTCGCCGTCCTCGGCAGTTGTTATGACAAGCTCAGTACCAACAAAGTGCACACAAGTGGTGTTGTTGGTCGGCACTTTGACCTCTCCAACAATCTTGGCTGTGCTGGGGTCGATTCGAATGACACGACCCTCACCATATACAGCTTGCCAAAGGAACCCGTCTACATCTACACGGAAGCCGTCTGGCTCGCCTGAACCATCATGGGTGTAGAAAACGCGCTTGTTAGAAATCTCCCCAGACTCGGTATCAAAGTCAAAGGCATAAATCTCTCTGGCATTCGAGTGTGTAACATATAGAGTCTTTCCATCAGGAGACCAACCTGGTGTGTTGGGGATTGTCATATTAGGCAGCTTGACCTCTCGTGACTTGGCGTCCATTAGATAGACCGCTCCTAGATCCAACATGTCAGATTTGATGAACAAGAGATACGACGTAGAGGGAATGAACTGGGTCTTGATGCGGGTGCACCGCTTTGCTTTGGGCAGGGTAGAGTACCTTCAGGCTTAAAGGGACCGAGTCCGAAGTCTGTCATTGTACCTAGCCAGAATCGACCAAGAGGATCCACGCCGCCATCGTTACTTCGCATACGCTCATTAGCGGGTTCTTCGAATGGCTGGATAAGTTCGTATGTCTCCTTCTTGACGTCGAGAACAGCCAGTCCATACTTGACACCAATGGCGATGCGTTCCTGGGGATCAACCCCAGCAATGTTGGCTGTGACAGTAGGGCATACGTCCAGTTGGATGGTTTTAAGAGACGAAGGGCCTTCAGCCACCTTCACATAATGTAACCTTTTGTTGCGGATATCAACAAAGCGCAGATTGCCCGTTGATTCCTCATAGAAAGGTCCTTCGCCCAATAGACAGTGTGTCTCAAGCCAAGGTTTCTCAACCGTCCATTGCTGAATGTTGGCACTCATTGTCAATAAGTTCGGTATGACCCTGATGTCCTGTTAGTTTTAGGGTAAGGTGACTTGAAAATAAAGCTATATACCACTTAGTAATGGCCAATGGCGGCGGGGTTGAGGTCAGGATGATGTTCTATGATGTATGAGGGGAAATCGAACGGGCCAGGGCAAACCGAAGTTGAGAGTGGGGAGCTCTTGTAATGAGTTCTGATATAAAGGGCTACAAAGGATGTGCGAGCACTACCGAAATCAAGGGGGGAGGGAAAACAAGTTGAAAGTGAAGCAACTCTAAAAGAGAGAATCGATTATTTCGACGCTTCGATTATGGATAAATTCAATGAAAGGCCACTCATCCGGTTCGGCACGGATGTGGTTGAGTGCGCTCCGAAGCCAACTCCGGGCCCGCCGGGCCTCAGACCCGGCCTTTATTTCCTTCAAATTGCCATATTCAGATGGTGCCTACATCGACTTTGATTGGCAAAGTCTTGATCTTGGTTCTGACTGCATTCGAATTCCACTTTTCAGTCTCTGCCAGGGCTGTAGTGCATCTGGGTGTCACTGAAATTGGCAACATGGAAGCCCCCCTAGGGCCAATATGGACTCGGCCACACAAGTGGTCCGCCCATAATGTTGGCTTGCTGTGGCGTTGTCTAACCAACACGCTGTAACAGTCGATCTTGCTTGGTGAAAGCCGCGACCCAGACTGTCGGGACGTATGGTGTCGTGCAAGAGACGTAATTGGGCAGCGAGAACTCGATTAAATTGTGCACAGTCGTTGTGCGCGCTTGCGGCTGTATGTGTCGGGTCTCAAATACGGCCGCAGAATGCATAGTTAACATGTGTAGGCATTAGACGCCGATTCATGGGTGCGGCAGACTTGGTTAAATTGTCGGGCTCATCGCTGCACAGAAGAATGATAACCACTCAGTGCGCGGTGAAGCTAACCACCGCGTCCACTTTTCACCCTTTAAGACTCGAGCCTTCATTCAACAAGTCTCATCTCACTGCGAGCTTTGAATCTATGATGTTCGTCTATCGAGTCGTTGCACGTGGGGCAAGATCGTTGTGGCCAACCCCCACGCTCTTCAATGGCGCAACACAGTCATGCTCGAACCTTTCCCAGGACGAATACCGAAACTCATCTACATCCTAATGCGATGGAGGACTTTTCTCATCAGCATAGCCTGGTAAGCATCGTGAGCGAACATGACCAATGAAAGCCTTCTGCTCCAGTTGAAATCTCCCTCGCATCCTCAGATATGCACGCCCACAACATACTGACGTGGTCAACAGTACATTCACCCGAGTCGAGCAGAAAATAGACAACAACGAAGCATCGTGAGTTGAAACCCAGGAGCGCTTTCAAGGGCCCGTCAGATCTTCTCTCCGGTCGCGGAACCATCAGGTCGTCATCGGGCAGCAACACCACCCTCATGGCGAGCAACTGGAACGTCAAAAGGACAACGCATCAAGGACAGCTCAACCCACAGTTCCCACGCATCTGTCGGCCGGTAAAATGTATGCAAGAAAGACACACACTCACACCGCCCTGCTTCGAAGTAGCAAAGATGCTGCAGCAGTAAAAAGGAGTGAAGCGGACGCGGCCCCGTTGGCTGACAGATGCCTACCAACATCGTTACCTGCATTCACTAGCTATGCAGTGTGTGTGCCCGTCGTTGGCCAGTTTTGCATCGATGCTGTGCTGCTGCATGCCGTAGATGCAAGAGTGGGCTTCTGCATGAACCAGGCCCAAGCTACAACTCACTGTGAACTGTTTGGCCTCGGTTATATAACACCTTGACTCGCTTGGTCTTCAGTTGTTAGGGTCGTGTGGGTAGACTCCAAGAAATACCACGCTGCCAGCACATCCTGGGCCACGACAAGACGCAACGCATGACAGGGCAGGGCAAATTAGCTGCAGATGCAATGCATGCCATAGCTACAGATGTTCATTGATTAGCTAGAAACGTTTTGCCTGGCTCCTTGGCCCCTGGCCGCTTTCCCTGACCGCTCGTGGTCACGGGAGGCGTCGTGGGCCCACGATCGCCGCTGCTAGACCGGGGATAGGTGTCGAGGCTGAAGGGCCAGAACATTGATCTCCTCTGCACCCTCCGCCCTCTTTCT